AAGAATTTTGATGTTGCAGTATGAAATTAAAAAGAGATTTTCTTGGATAATTTAGATGGACTACATCAATCAGCTTGATGTAAAGATTGGTCCGATTTTGAACATTATAATGTATACACAACTCCATAAGAACGATTTTGAACAAGAACCTTAAAGTGATGATGGTGATAGACTAAAAATGATTTGGATAATATTTAAAAACTACCTAAATTATAAAAAGACTGTCCTACTCTTTTTAAAAATTGAATGTTACCAAGACATTCTTAAAGATATTTATAGAAATGTCTTTGTGTCACATGGATTATAGATTATCTTTGCATAATGAAATATCAAATTGAACACAATAATGCAGAACGTAAAGTTATTTTTTCCTTCTACTGTGCACTACATTACACTTGGATGGACAGTATGTGACTTTAATTTATATAAAAGAAAAATTTTGCATGTATTTATTTCAAGGTGGTTGCTAAGGAGGCCTGGGACAGTTATAAGTTGAGGAATGACTCCATCATCACAGACATATTTCACGGGCTTCTCAAATATACGGTCATATGTCCAGAATGTGACAAAATCTCCGTCACGTTTGACCCGTTCTGTTACCTGTCATTGTCGGTCCCAGTGAAAAAAGAACGTCAGTTAGAAGTGTTCTGGGTACCTCTAGATCCTGCCAAAAAACCAATGCAGGTAATGTCAGAATTAACTTTTTTTGTTTGATAAGTTTGCAAGATTTAAGTCGAGGAAAATAAACAGAAATGTGATATATGATAAAAGATTAGATAGATCGGTTTTGAAAATTGCATTAAAGCGTTCTGGAAGTAATAAGATTATATGTTAGTATATAAATAACACATGGGTTTGTGGGTAACAGTAAAAATATCATCCCGAAGAAAATACTGTTACAGTATTTATACAAGGGATGATATTTTTACTGTTACCCACAAACCCATGTGTTATTTATTTTATTACCCCGAACAAATACTGTGATGATCTGAATTTGTCAACTAAATCTAACTGTAACAAAAATAAACCAAGAGAAGCAATAACTAAACTGTCCTTACCTTGCAAGTTTTAAGTGTACTGTAGGCCTACTTGAGAAGCTGTTCTTCTTTTATTCTTTAGGCAAGTGATGATATCTACCAGTCATAAACATAAAATAAATAAGTTGTGTTTTATTTAGAAAACAAAACACTAACCCATTTATAAGGTTATGATCTGTGAAATCTGATCCTTCTGCATCCAGAATATTCTTCGCATGGTTTTTGACACAGTGCATTTAGAAAATAACGATGACATCCTACAGATGTCTGTCCACCAACTCTATCTGTAACGTTTCACTGGTTAAAAATGTTAAATAATCCTTTGTTGCATGCTTTAATCGTCTGCATGTTCCAGTTTGACACAAAATTGTTCACATTACTATTACTTCCGTTGAAAACAGATGTTCCCTTTTGACTATTCAACAAAAGGATATTTTTTACGCGAAAGGAACTCGAGGGTGCAAAGAACTAAATTTTATGAGAGTAATAGTTACTTCGGCGATGCCCTATCGTCGAAAATAAGAACGAATCTAGAGAAAAATGGCGGCCATTTTATTTCATTTTATTTAGAAAATAGACCATGTGACCAGATTTTATACTGTTAAAAAATAAACTGTTACCTATGTAACAGTACAAAATTCTTAATCACGTGGTACACTTGCATTAACAGTAAGAATAACTCCCAGAGGCCTATGGGAAATTAACATTACGAAAAAAGTGAGGGGTAATAATATAAGATAAATGTATTGAATTGAAACAAGTTTCCAAAATTCACATTTGTGTATAATGAATATGAACAAATAAAACCATATTATTGTAAATAATTCTCTGGAATCATTTGCACGAAATACAAACCTGGATTTAAGAGATTTTATCAAAGAAAAAAAAATGAAAATTTTTTTTCTGAATCCAACAGTTTGATATATGAAATTCTTATTTAAAAAGCCAATATGTTTCAATAATTTGTTTTGAGACATAGACTTTATATTTAAGTCTTTTAGTTGTATATTTTGAGGAACATTTTCAGTAAATAGTTATTGATTTGACAATTTCCAGTTCAAGTTAACAGTACCAAAGATGGGGTGTGTAGCAGATATCTGCGATGTCCTATCACAGTATGTGGCAGTCGACAAAAACTTTGTAAGTTGTTACATATGTACCTTGTTAAGGTATTATCTGAAACTTTAACATCTGAGAAATAATATGTATTTATGTTTAAACAGAAATTTGATTTTTGGTGCATATTTGTTACCATGTTGAATTTCTTTTGCATAATTATCTTACTTTGCTTTAAATTTGGCAGAGCATCATTACTGCTATAAACATTGACCCTCAAAGCCATATAGTTTGGTTTGTACTTGCAGCCAATGTCGGATTAATGATTTTTTGGCACAATGGTCAGATGCATTATTATTTCTTTGTGAGTCAGAGGATGTATGTTCGAAATAACATTACAGGTGGAATTTTTTTTGCATTTGCATTTTCTATTACGAATTTGAAATGTTCATAAAATGCAATCTTTTTAATAAAAAAATTCAAGATAGGCAATGTTTTAACATGCCTGTAATGTAATGATAAAATAATTCAGACTCTTTTTCAAATGAACATTCAATACAGTTGCCATACCAGATTAACAAAATATTCAAGAAAAGTAGTAAATGCTGTTGGTTTTTTTTGTTTGCAGATGGTGGTGACAGATGTATATAACCATAGATTTCACAAAGTGTTTGCTATGTCCGAGGCCATCAGTCAGATTATGGATAAAGATGATATCTTTATTTACCAGGTTCCTGTCAACTCTCACGATGACCATGATCTAGTTGTATTACCTATCTACATGAGGCAAGAGAGGTATACTTTCAGGTTTCCCCCCCCCCCCCAGGTCTTTGGGAACATGATCTATACCCATGGAATTGGGAATTTCAGCGATGTTTTTTTAAAAATTGGGAAAAAATGCATGACTGAAAATAATGCATGACTATAAAATTAGTAAAAAAAAATCCATGATTTTTATACCTTATTGTAATCCTTACGCAACTGTATAACCATGATGGGCCTGTCGGGTAGTGTATTTTACATTGCCAGTCAAATGTTTAAAGTGATTTCAGTATCAAAATATGATTTTGAGCATTTAATTTATAGTGTTGGGTAACAGTGCTCTCAGTAAGCCAGAGGCCAGAAAAATTGCCAGCTAGTGCTGAATTTACTGATGGCTACAAGTCTACAACCCATGATGATTTTGAAAATGCTTTTTATATCTCTTGGGTAGTGTTATACCAATAATCACTGTCTTTTGTCAATTTTATAATGGCTACTGATAAATTTATAGAGAAAACACTGTTTGCATTGCTAGAAGAGATGTGCAGGCTAGTCTGGTTCTACTTATGGCATAGTCATATTTGTGGCTATTCCTCAAATGAAAATAAAAAAAATGTTTAGTATTACTTAAAATTTATTTTAAAAGTTTATTTTGACTTTCCATTATTCACTTTTTGTTATGCCGAAATTAATGGGAAATCAGTCTGCATATATAGAAGTCAGCTAATTCTCTTTATTTACTGTTTTCACATAAATGTTTGACGTTGGGTTTTCAACATATTGGTCATTGAACCTAAGTTTTTATGAGAAAAGAAGAAAGTTTTTGGGTGCTGTTTGTAAAACAAGTGAGAGTGGATTTGATGAAAAGTAATTATGTAATATGAGGTCTTGATTTAACCTTCAAGATATTGATTTATTGCAGGGGAAAGGCAACATACAGCCAGTCATATATAGGAACCTACCAGTTATTTGGTCAACCGTTGTTATTACCAGTACCAAGACAAAAATGTACCTATAAACAGCTGTATGAGTTAGTACTTCAACGGATCTCGTAAGTTTTACATTATTTACCTTAATCACACTGTATTTATGTAATGGACTTTCTCACCTTTGAATTTGGTACTGTCCATAGCAACCGTTAAATAAAGAACCTGGTCAAAATGCAGGCAAACCTGGCTCTATATTAGTTTAAACATATTTAACATACTGGACATACATTCCAGACCCTTGGTTCAAGTTCAGGCTTTGGTGTGCCGATTTTTCATGTGATTTTTCTGTATATAGATGTATGTGCTGGATTTTGTAGAAAGCTCCTAGCCTATTTGATCCACTAGCAAGTTGGCTTCCTGAATTTACTAGAAATGGTATTATATGAGAAAACATGTTTTTGAACCAAATAGAACCCAAAACCATTATCCCTGGATTGAGAGGCAAACACCTCAACCACTAAGAAACCATTTCATTTATCGGGCTGTATATTTGTGTAAATGGGCAAGTCATTAATGCCCATGGCATTGTGATTAGACTGGAAATATTTTAATTGAGCAATGCAACATTATAAACCTCAGTAGTTAGTATAAGCCATTTGACCTATGTTAAAATATTTATATTAAAACATTTTTAATTCTATTCAGGTTCTGCAGCAAAGTTTACAAAAAAGCAAATATGATAAATTTTGTGTTCTGTTGTTGAATAGGATGTAGATGTTCGTAACTAACAAACCGTTATAATTAGATAGACAGACAATGTAGGAGATGTTATGAGATCATATGACAGTATTAAAGCATGAATATTTATGATATGACATATGAAATATCCACTGAAGATACGGATGAATAATTTTGTGATTTCAGACGTTTTGTAACTGTGCCAGCTGACAATGAGAAATGGTGGGTGATGGAGACACAGGACGAGGATGTGGAGATTGTCTCCACCACTCAAGAAGAGGAGGAAAGTAACGCAACAAACATGAATGGACAGGGAGATTCTGTCGTTTGTAACGGAGGTACTGATATTTAAGCTGCACTCCTTCATAAGTGTGACTGAATGTTCAAAATATCAAACTTCAGGAAAATATGTAAGGAGTATAAAAAATATAAAACTAAAGATGATCCAGGTATTTGAATTGAAAAATGGTAGATGTTTTTAGCTTGACTATTCAAAGAATAGGGAGAGCTGTTGTACTCACCCAGGAGTCGGCGTTACGCTTTCGCCAAGTTTTTGAAGGCAAGTTGGTTTCTAGAAAACTAACAAAGGGAATGGGTTGAAACTTCACACACTTATTTGAGAGCATAATAGGAGGTCATTTTCCAAGGCCCATAACTCTTACGTGGATTTTAACAGTATTATGACCCTTTTTGAACTGAGAATAGTCAGTTTGTCCTACAAATAACTTTTGTCTGTCATCCTATTTCTTTCCTGTTATAATATTAAGAAAATGAGAGCTTTTTTTTCTGCAAATTGTAACGTGTAATAAGTAATATCTATAGAAATCATTGGCTGGTTTGAATTATTGATTGTATTCTTCAATTGATTTTGGTGATGAAATTAGAAAGAAAATGTCATGAACTTCAAAAGAAAATCTTTGGACGTGCTGTTAGATATATTTGATCAATTACACTTTTGCAGTCCTTCACGAGGTTATGGCAGTATGGTGTCATATACCTGATAATGTAGTTAAAATCATGTGCATGTTTTCATGAAAATTTGGAAATGTATTAAAAAGTAAAATATTGTGAAGTGTGTAAGTAACGTAGAAATATGGTTAAAAATACTGCAAAATTGACTATAAATCGTCCCCCCTAACATGGAAATTATAATTTTTATCTTGCATCCTTTTTAATTTTTCTTGAAATTTTGGTACTTTTTTTCTCAAGCTGGATTTTTTTTTTATTTATTCGGGTTAATCTGGATGTGTGCATCTTTAAATGTGGGATTATGATTGGTTTTAAAACATGTTTTCTAACATAAAATTTTAATTCATTGACAAAAAAATTATTGCTACAAGGAACTTCAATTCAAAACTACAGGCACATAACAATGTAGTCACATACATTGAAATATGATATGAGGATAAATTTTGTATCACAAGATGAAAATAAATCCTGTATTTATAGAAAAAGACTTGAATTTTTTGTTTAATATTATGAAATAATATACATTTTTCTCTTTTTTGACATTTTAATTTGTATTTTGGCTAAATTCATGAGAAAGAAGTCCAACAAGACACCAATAAAAATATGAATAATATGTTTCACTGCTGTGAAATATTAATTGTTACGATGAAAATAAGGAAAAAATGAAAATAGGCATTTTATTTCATCAATATTTCTCAATATTTCATTTAAAACTAAAAAGTATATAATAAATGATAATATTTCATTGTTTGAAAATACATAGTTTAAAATGATTTATGTTTTTGATGTTACAGTTCGGGATACAGGTGATGATTCTGGAATGGAAGTTAGTAACGGTGACAGTACTAATAGTGAGAATTCCTCGGACAACGAAAATAACAAATTTTCAGATATAAATGGTCAAACAGATAGTGATAAAGAAATAGAAAAACCTAGAAAACTTTTTAAATTCTCAGTAGTGAATTCTTATGGCACAGCGGAAATGGATAATAAATTCAAAGATGATGACAACCCTCTGAAACTGAGTAGTAAGTGTGTTTATAAAGTAACCTGTTTCTTGATGTAGATCGACATGCAATTTCTACTGTACTAGATTCATAAAAGTTTTAGAGTACATAAACCTGCTGAATTTGTGTAATGGATTAGTCCAGCTTTGAATTTGGAATAGTCTATTCAAATTTAAGGGATTTCATTAAGTTGATTCAAAATACAAAAATTGAGCAGCCACCAGTATATTGGTTGTGCACAGATGTGCATGCTTGCCTGGCTCTATACTGGTGGCAAAAGCAGAACATTTTCAGCTGATATTTCCAATTATTTACATTTTACATTAGTGGATATGAATCCAGCCAGGATACTTTAAATTCTTTCATGTGTCTAAGCTGACCAGTCCACTTGTTCCTGAAATAATTTCAGGAAGGGACAGCTTAGGACATTCTACACCAGCAAAGCAAAGCTTGAATGTAGCCATATTGCTTACACTGTGTGACTTAAATGTAAAATCTGACAAGAAAAGAAAAAAATACCAACATTTATTGATTCCTTTTTAAATAAATTTAAATTGGTAAGTTTTGCATACTTAAGATGATATTATTAATGGTGTAAGATAATGTTTAAAAGATGTCCATAAATTTGTTTACAGGTCATATGTACATATCAGTGGACTGGAGCAATCTAGCTAAAGAACATTTTTACTGTGATAGTGAAGCAGAGTCGTTTGAAATGCACGACACAATGGAAAGTAAACCTCAGAAAAAAGTAGTCATTCAACTCAATGATTGTCTAGAACTGTTCACATCCAAGGAGAAACTGGGAGAGAATGATCCTTGGTGAGTTGAAGTTTTGTTGTCCTTGATATTAACAAGGCTGGGAATGAATTAGATATGCTGCCCTTGAAAAAGCTCTCAAATATAAAATTTCTTTTGTAAATATCTTTATTCATTCCTTCATGTAGAAAAAAAAGAAAAGTAGCCTCCCAACCTGAAAACCTTTTATTGAAATCATGGAAAATGTTGTACATTTTTGAAGATAATGAGGCTTGAGAAAATTTCCAGCCAGGAAGAAATCGGTCATATCCATAGAGGGATGGGGAAACGACTATTGCATGTCAATATTCAAAGTAAGAATAAATAGTTTTGTTGTTTTTAAGGAACTTTCCAAAATGTGAGAAACATCAGCAGGCAACGAAGAAGATTGATCTGTGGTCGTTACCAGATACACTGATCATACACCTGAAGAGATTCTCCTACAACCGTTACTGGAGGGATAAAATTGATGCCCTTGTCGAGTTTCCAGCAAAGTATGTTATCTGTTTATTATTCTATATAATAAATCTATAAATATTAAACATAGTTTCTGTTTAATTGTTGTTGTTTTTTTTTCAGTCAGCGATACTGAATAGCAAACTCAAATGAAATGGTTGAGACATGAAATAAAATATAAATTTAAGTGATGGTTAACCTAAATGTAAATTAAAGTTATTTACTTTCCTGGAATATCAAAGCTTTTGTCCACAGTTAGCTTTCTTTAGGACTTTATCATATTTTTCATATTAATTTATATGGAGACAGGGTCATTCAAATAGAAAGATTCTATTTGAAAGACCCTGATGGAGAGAGTGCAGGTAGAATAGAAAACCTGGCAGGCTAATGAAAACCAATGTAAGCACAAATTGCTGTGTACATAATCAAATCAACTGTGTATTAAAATATTTGTATCTGAAATAAACGTTATTTTAAATATTTCAGGGGCATTGACCTTGGCAAGTTTGTTATATCTCCAGCAGATAAATCAGAGTATGTGTATGACCTTATTGGAGTGTCCAACCATTATGGTGGTCTAGGAGGCGGCCATTGTAAGTATCTATTTACCTTTTTATAAAGTTAACCCCTACATTTAGTGCTATGAACTTGCCTTGTTTTGAAATAGGGGTTGTCTCTTGTTGATTTTCAGGGGTATGAATATGTTCATTAAGTAACTATCTGTAATATCATATTGCTTACAAGTTAAATATAGGTCAGGAAACTAGAGAAAAGTATTGCTCAGTTTGAAGAGGTGTAACCCTGTTAACTCAATACTTACCGCCAGACTGTGTCAGACTGTGTATTTACATACATTCGGAACTTTGCCTGTTTCGGACTAAATGATGTATTTCTCTCCCTTTATCTGTCTTACGCCATTTGTTCATATTAAATCACGTATTTGATTATACTCTTGTGTGTGGTGTGGTGGCGTGGTGGCAGCGAATTTACGTCCCACGCTCGATAAAGACCTGTGTACGTCATCTCGTAATATAATTATTACCGTGAAGGCAAGTGTATTAAACAAAAACAATGACAATGGCAAATTCTACCCGCGCGCCAAAACAATGGTGCCTTACCAAACATAAAACTGTAAACTCATTTGAAAACTGGAGACAGAACTTAATCTACAGCCGTTCTTTAGACAAGAACTTTGCTCCGTTTCTCGTGGCTGGGCTTAAATGGCAGAAAAAGACCAAAACTGCACCCCACAGAGGCTTTGTGAACGACGGTGAGGATGTAGCCGAAGCTGTCAGGAAAACCCGTGAGCAAAAGGTCAACATTATATAATATTATAATTAATATCCAGAAACACTATTGTTAAAAACTCTACCTCCCTTGATGATATTTGGCAAACAATCCGCCTCCACTATGGTTTCCAAATTACTGGTGGCCATTTTATTGACTTTGATTCTATCCGATGTGATCCTACAGAGAGACCCGAAGATTTGTTCCAACGACTCACCTCATTTATCGAAGATAGCTTGTTACATCAGGATATGGGCATCAAACACCATGACGAACCGATAACCGAAGATGAGGAGCTCTCTCCAACGCTTTAAAATCTAGTTGTCTTAACATGGCTGAGACTGATAAACCCTGACCTACCTAAACTTGTCAAACAGAGATACGGTACTGAGTTACGAGCAAGAACATTAGCCTCTATAAAACCTGAAATTTCGCAAGCACTGGACTCACTTTTAGAAGAGTTGCGTTCAGCAGAGGATGCCAAAACCATGAGAACAACTGTCAGAAAATTTCCACAACAAAAGCCGCAGTCAAGTCCATCTTGGTCTAAACCCAACCAAAAGTCGTGTCCGCTTTGCAAAGCCGCAGGACGTCCTGATCGCCACTTCCTTAGTAAGTGTACTTATTTGCCGCAACAAGACCGACAGTTTTTGGCAAGGGCCCGCGCTACATGTATTGATGATATTCCTCTTGATGATTCTGAGTTACACGATCCCGATGAAGAGTTTCGACAAGTGTCGGTATCTACTAACCGTGTTCAAGTTCGACAGTCTCCTTATCTTGACACTTACTGTGGCCATATTCCGATTCGTTTAACTGTTGACAGTGGCGCCACCCGTAATATGATTCGTGCATCAACTGCAGCACAATTGAACGCAAAAATCACCGCTAGCTCCCAATCTGCTCACCAAGCCGATGGTTCCTCTCCTTTAAACATTGTAGCGGAAACTAGGATAACATTTTCACGCGATGATCATAACCTGTATTTTGAAGGGTTAGTTGTCGAACATTTAGATACAGATGTTTTGGCCGGTATTCCATTCATGGGGGTAAATGACGTTTCCACACGACCAGCTCGTCGTGAGGTGTCTATTGGAACTGACCACATATACTACTACGGCTCGCCAAGCACTTCAGCCCCAAATCACGCTATTCGTCGTGCTCACGTCGCACGTGCTCCTTCAACCTCAATTACGCTGTGGCCCGGAGACTTTATTGATGTTATGTTACCGTCTGACATGCGCTCCACAGACAACATCTTTTCGGTTGAGCCTCATACCAGGGACTCGGACAACAACTCTTGGCCGCAGCCATTTTTGGTTTCAAGCGTTGGTGGAAATTTGCGGATACCGAATTTATCAAACGAACCAATGCTTCTTAAAAAAAATGAACATTTTTGTCACGTACACGCTACTTACTGTCCTGTGGGGAATGAATCTGAATCAAAAGCTCTACCTAACTCAGCAAATGCAAACATGAAAAAGTCAACACATTCCGGTCAAGTCCGTGTCGACCCAGATGACTTATTGTCAACAAATATGAGAGATCAGTTTAAATAGCTACTTTTAAAGTATGATGACGTCTTCAATCCAAACTTTAAAGGTTATAATGGTGCATTAGGTCCATTGGAAGCGAAGGTAAATATGGGTCCCGTGCAGCCTCCTCAGCGAAAAGGACGATTACCACAATATGCAAAATCTCAGTTATCTACTCTCCAGGACAAATTTGACGAACTGGAACGTATCGGTGTCTTCAAACGCCCCGAGGAGTTGGGAATCACAGTCGAGTATTTGAATCCGTCCTTTCTTTTAAAGAAACCGAATGGTACTTTTCGACTAGTCACAGCCTTTGCAGATGTTGGTAGATATATCAAACCTCAACCGTCATTGATGCCTGATGTCGATTCAACTCTCAGGCAAATTGTGCATTGGAAGTATATAATTAATACTGACTTGACTAAATCCTTTTACCAAATTCCACTGTCAAAAGACTCCATGAAGTACTGTGGTGTATCAACTCCGTTCCGTGGCGTAAGAGCTTATGTACGTTCAGCAATGGGAATGCCTGGTTCTGAGACAGCTCTTGAAGAACTCACGTGTAAATGTTAGGACACCTAGTTCAAGATGGTACTGTTGCTAAAATCGCAGATGATCTGTATTGTGGCGAAATACACCAGAGGAGTTGCTCACAAATTTCGAACGTGTATTGGAAGCGCTTCATTCATGCAGCCTCAATTTATCAGCTACTAAGACTATTATCGCACCTAAACAAGCATCAATTCTCGGCTGGATATGGGAACAGGGGAGTATCCGTGCAAGTCCTCATCGTATTTCAACGCTTTCTACATGCCAACCGCCTAAAACTGTCACTGCTATGCGCTCATTCATAGGCGCATACAAAGTGCTTTCTCGGGTCATTAAAAACACATCAGAAATACTTCTCCTTTAGAAGAAGTCATAGCTGGAGGTGAATCAAAAGACTCTATTGTTTGGACTGACGACCTAGTACGTGCGTTTTCTACTGCTCAAATGGCCTTATCTTCCAATCGCTCAATAACACTTCCCCGTCCGTCTGATCAACTATGGATTGTAACGGATGGTGCTTCGAAAAGCAGAGGTCTCGGGGCTACTCTTTACATCAATAGGAAGGATAAGCTTCATGTAGCTGGTTTCTTTAGCGCAAAATTGCGTCAGAACCAGAATCGTTGGTTACCATGTGAAATTGAGGCCTTATCAATCGCTGTCTCAATAAAGCACTTCAGTCCCTTCATTATCCAATCGTCCACATCTACATGCATACTTACCGACAGTAAGCCATGCGTTCAAGCCTTTGAAAAGCTTTGCAGAGGGGAGTTTTCATCAAGTCCACGTGTGTCTACATTTCTATCTACCGCAAGTCGCTTTCAAGTTTCAATTCGCCATGTTTCTGGAGCAGCAATCTTACCATCAGATTTCGGTAGCCGAAACGCACCCGAATGTTCGAATCAAAACTGTCAAATTTGTTTGTTTATAAGTCAGCAAGAAGAATCTGTTGTGCGTCATATTACTACTGAGGATGTTCTTAATGGAACCGTAAAATGTCCATTTACAAGTAAATCGGCTTGGTTATCTATTCAATCAGAGTGTGCTGATCTCCGCCGTACTGTTGCGCATCTTCGCTAAGGCACAAGACCTTCAAAGAAGCTTACAAATGTAAAAGATATAAAGCGATACTTAAACATAGCCTCACTCTCTCGAGATGGACTCATTATTGTTAAAAGGAACCAGCCGTTTATGCCAAGTCAGGAATGTATTGTGGTTCCCCGACAAGTTCTCGACGGACTTTTGACCTCTATACATATAAAGTTGGGACACCCTTCCGTCAGCCAATTAAAATCCGTCGTACAGAGGTACTTTTATGCTTTGGATATGGACAAATCATTAGACATGGTCACTAAAGGTTGCCATCAGTGTGCATCCCTGGCAAAGGCACCAAAAATGCGGGATGAGCAAAGCTCCGAAGATCCACCGGAAACTGTTGGATTGGCTTTTGCTGCCGATGTAATGAAGCGGGAACGTCAACTCGTTTTAGTAGTTCGAGAATGTGTTACCTCGTTTACATTCACAAAGTTGCTAGAAAGTGAGCGTCATCATGACTTACGGGATGCTATCATACAATTATTGGCAGAGGTTCACCCGCTGGATGGTCCGTACGCTGTGATTAGAACCGATCCAGCTCCAGGTTTCAAAGCATTGGTAGATGACCAGTTGTTAACACGACACCATATATCAATAGAGTTAGGACGTGCCAAAAACCTCAACAAAAACCCGGTCGTTGAAAAGGCTATACAGGAATTGGAGGGTGAAATTCTTAGAGCAAACTCGTCACGTCATCAAATACTAACTCCCATGAATCTCGCGATAGTAACCGCCCGTCTTAACACGCGCATTCGCAAACGAGGCTTATCTTCCAGAGAAATGTGGATGCAAAGAGATCAGGTCTCAAATAGACAAATTCCTGTAGAAGATCAAAAATTAATATCATCTCAACAAATTCAAAGATCGACAAATCATGTACAAAGTGAAAAAGCAAAATGCCCTTCAAATCAAACCCCGGTTACTCCTGATTTAAAAGTAGGCGATACTGTTTATCTCCGAAAAGACCTCAACAAAACAAATGCTCGAGAAAGATACATTGTAGTGACATTGGAATTTCCATGGTGTAACATTCGTAAATTTATAGGTAACCAGCTCAGGAACAATTCCTATCGTGTTAAGTGTTCCGATTGCTTCAAAGTAACGACACATTTCAAAGCTTCTACGAAAGAATCCCCGATTGAGTTCGACTCTGACGAAGAGAGCGAAAGGAATAAGCAAGAGATGCTTCACGTTCCACCCGCCACACCAGATATCCCATTGGAAATATCGATTCCACCTCCGAAACCTATTATCAGTTCAAATGACTATGATCCTGAATTGGTTACGTATGATTCTCAGGAGGGAAATATTGACAATGGCTCTGATTCGGAAACTAATACTGATGTTCCACATTTTGCGGAGTCCAATGTATCTAGCCACCCGGCTCGAAAGCGGTGCCTACCTAAGAAGTTAAATGACTATGTTCTGTACTAGAGTGATTTGCACATTTTGGGGCATAATGATCCCCAAAAACCCCTGTGACTGTTGTAGTATTATTCAAACCTAGATTCACTTAAGTGCTGGGGCATAATAATCCCCTTAAAACCGGAGGGCAGTCTACCCTATGATGGTTTTACATTTTGGAGGAAAAGGAAAGTGGTAGCGCCAGACTGTGTATTTACATACATTCGGAACTTTGCCTGTTTCGGACTAAATGATGTATTTCTCTCCCTTTATCTGTCTTACACCATTTGTTCATATTAAATCACGTATTTGATTATACTCTTGTGTGTTGATCTACATCCATTATACTGGCGTACAGTTTAAGGTATGATAATGAAGGTTGTCAGCGTGATATAACTGTTACAGTGTTAGTAACTGACCCAATATGGGATATAAAGTTTGAAAATCTTTGGTCTGGTTCCAATATGGTTTCCCACAGAACCTTATATCTCATATCGGGTCAGTTACTAACCCAGTAACAGTTGCATTATGCTGACTAACTTCCTTATCATAATTAACCAGGACAAACTATGAAAAAGCTGTTGAATTGACAATTATGGCATCTATACTATAATTAATTATTATTTAGAACTTTAACTTGCCGAGTACAGTCAAACGTGTATTAAGCGACCGAGCAAGGGAAACACCCAAAACGGTCACTTAATGAATCGGTCTCTTAAGACAAAGCATGATATAAAAGTCAAAACAAAATTTATCACATTATGACATTTTTCTTTTGCGGTGGGAATGTTTTTCAACTTAATTTATATAAATGTTGAACAATAAGTATGCTCCGATAATCTAAATGGATGCTTCTGTAAAAAATAACTTTCTGATATTTATTAACCAAACAGTTCTGATCCATTATGTACATGTTTGACATTTTTTTCAGAATTTTTTAACTTCTCCGTTGTTTTTCCTTGTCTCCAACACGAAAACCCTATTAGTGATGATGTTTTCTGTTGTGCATTTTCTCTTTTGAAATAAACAAACCACATCTAATTGTTACGATTAATTTAATTGCTGATCAAGTTCAAGGTCAATTCAATGCAGTCTCAATGTCAACAAGCGAAGCGTATACACCATCTCAGTAGGGGCGGAGCGTTGCATTGTTTATTCGATATTATTGGATAATACACATCACGCATATACTTAACTTCATTTGCATACGCTAATACGGTTTGGGAAAGTTTTTCACACATTGATATGTTGTGTTTTGATTGTTGACACTTGTGACATTACGAGGCGGTGTTCTCTAAAAACACAATTACTTGACTGGTAAAAGTGGTCGTTTGATGAACAGATTGATCTCAATTAGCTGACTAATTAGCGGTCGCTGGTTGCGTTGAGCAAAAGTCGCTTAATACATTAAAGATATAGAGAGAAAATGATCAGGGGGCAATTTAAAGTGGTCACTTAAGACAAAAGTCGCTTAATATACGAGGTCGCATTTACAAGTTAGACTGTATAGTAGGTCACCATGTGACATCAAGAAGGTTATTGTGTAGCTGAAGTGATATAGTTAAATATTGTACGTGATAATGCCTATGCTGAAGAACAAAATTCAAATCAATAAATTAATATTCTGTATATTGACATTTCGTTCCAGATACTGCATACTGTAAGAATGCTGTAGAAAATGCCTGGTACTATTTTGATGATTCAAGTGTGTCCGAGTCTTCTGAGGAAGCCACTGTGGTATGTTATATTATAAACACAATATGTCTGAATCATTCTTCCTCGTCTACATTATTTTTAGCTCACCTGTCACAAAGTGACAGGGTGAGCTTTTGTGATCAATTTTCGTCCGGCGTCCATCCGTCGTCCGTCCGTCCGTAAACTTTTGCTTCAAATGACATCTCCTCATAAACCATTAAGCCAATTTCACCCAAACTTCACAGGAATGTACCTTTGGTGGTCACCTTTAAAAATTGTTCAAAGAATTTAATTCCATGCAGAACTCTGGTTGCCATGGCAACCGAAAGAAAAAACTTTAAATATCTTCTTTTAAAGAACCCAAAGAGCTAGAGCTTAGATATTTGGCATGACACATCTTCTAATGAGTGTCTACCAAGTTTGTTCAAATAAAAGCCCTGGGGTCAAAATTGGCCCCGCCCCAGGGGCTCATTGATTTTCCCTATATGCATATAGTAAAAACTTAAAAAATCTTCTTTTAAAGAACCAAAAGAGCTAGAGCTAAGATATTTAGCATGAAACATCTTCTAGTGAGTGTCTACCAAGTTTGTTCAAATAAAAGCCCTGGGGTCAAAATTGGCCCCGCACCAGGGGGGTCATTGATTTTCCTTATATGTGTATAGCAAAAACTTTAAAAACCTCTTTGAAAAAATCCCAAATAGCTAGAGTTTAGATATTAAGCATGAAACATCTTCTAGTGAGTGTCTACAAAGTTTGTTCAAATTAAAGCCCTGGGGTCAAAATTGGCCCCGTCCCGGGGGTCATTGATTTCCTTATATGTGTATAGCAAAAACTTAAAAATTCTCTTTGAGAAAACCCAAATACCTCAAGTTAGATATTAAGCATGAAACATCTTCTAATAAGTGTCTACAAAGTTTGTTCAAATAAAAGCCCTTGGGTCAAAACTGGCCCCGCCCCAGTGGTGTCATTGTTTTTAACTATATGTGTATAGTAAAAACTTAAAAAATCTTCTTTTAAAAAACCCAATGAGCTAGAGCTTAGATGTTTAGCATGAAACATCTTCTTATGGGTGTCTACCAAGTTCAAATAAAAGCCCTTGGGTTAAAATTAACTCTGCCGGAGGGGGGAGAAGGTCATTGTTTTTCCTTATACATGTATGTGTATAGCAAAAACTTAACATCATGAAACATCTTCTAATGGGTGTTTTAATTCCAAGTTTGTTCAAATAAAAGCCCTGGGGTTTAAACTGGCCCCGCTTCGGGGGCCTATATACAGGTGAGCGACTTCAGGGCCATCATTGCCCTCTTGTTGTAGTGCTGATGTTTATCATTGGTTATGGTTCTACTCAGGTCTTCCTCCACCAGTACAGCTGGAATGTCGCTATATGACCTGTACTGTGTCGGTGTAACGTAAAACCCAATCAAACAAACAATATCATTGGTTGTCTGCGAATGAGATCAAGTTACGTTGGAGCGAACATTTAGTAATAGTGCATAAGAATCAATACTTAGACTAACAAGAAATAAGAATTGATACACATATTTTGTTATTTAGTCAAGACGTTTTAGACTGATCTACAACTTTTAGCAGAAGTTGTGGTTTATCAATCATTGTTAAAGTACTTGTATTACAAAGTACTTGTATTACATGTCACGATTAAGATTCATGATTTCATATACCAGAAAATTGACATTGATTATTATTCATCATTTATCAAGCAGTGATATTATTCATTATTTATCAATTTATTTTATTTCTCTAGTCAAAGGCTGCATATGTACTGGTATATCAGAAACGTGGCACTTGGAAGAACATCAAGAACACCACAGCAGCTTCCTCAACCACAACATCTGAGGACATTGAAATCAACGGCTTAGACTCGGAAAAAGGAGATGGCGAGGCAAACAAAATGGAAGTGAATTGATACAGAATTTACTAGGAGTGCAAATTTACATTTATTATTTACTTTGTATTTATCGGTCTTGTGATAGGGACCCTTGGATTTTATATTTTGATGTATACATATTAGCAGATGTTATATTATTTGATAAATCCAAGATTATACATTTGTTTTGCTAACCGTATTAAGACAGAAACTGTGTTTTGTTATAGCCATATCCTAAAAACCAGGCTGTTTTTTTAGAAAAGAAAACTTTGTTTTTATTTATAGGTGACCGAATAGAGATTTGAAAAAATTGTCAAGCATAGTGTATGTTTGGTTGATTAACTTGAGTTCTTCTCAGTGACTCTGGTTTTACTTTACTGAATGCTTTGATACTAATTGGACAATGTAGTGTATCATTACAATGTACTCGCATAAGATACTTGCTTTCCAAATATTTGTTAGACAGAGGAATGATTACCTGCTTTCTTCATTCAAAAATCATATTTGTTAATTTATTATAATAACACAAGTATTAATGTATAAAATTATGATATTGGGGGGGGGGCATTTTTTCTGTTACACTGTATTAATTTCTATTACCGTAAATTTTGAATTTTTAAGTGAACTCTTTCATTATATTAATATAAGGTACCTTTTGGTACAAAACAGAGCGATTTTCTGTAAAAAAAAATTGTGTTTTTTATTTAGTTATTTTTCAATTAGTTATTTTCAATAAAAACTCCTGATAAGTAAGAGTAATTACACTTTAGGATTAGATCTGAGTAATACATATAGTTGAGGACAGATTTGTCCTGTATATATCGTTTAAGCGAAATGATTTGTGTTGATTTAAAGTTTAGAAATACAGTATACATCATGTGCTATTATTATAAAAGGAGAACTGGGATAAAAACAGATATTACTAATGTACTTTAATATCATTATATTACTTCTTAACATTTTGCTTAAGCTGCAAATTAAAAAAAAAACTCACAAAAAAGAAAAATCAAAAATACTGTTTGGTGCTGTAACAGCGTTGCTTACACAAATGGTTTGGGATATTGAAGCTTTAAACTGTGTCTGTGGCCAAGTGTATGAGGTGGTTGACTTTGAACCACTTGCAACTATTCGCTGTGGGTTGGAATCCCATTGAGGACTATGGATTATTTTATGTGAGGAAGCTATCTGGCTAGCTTATGGAACTTGGTTGTTCAATAAATTAATTGTAGGGGGTTTTTTTATCAAAAAGACAATATTTCTATATATAGATAAGTTAATACAGTGGAAAAAAAATCAAACGGTTATGTGTACTAAATGGTATCATTTTTATATTATTTTATATTGGAGTATGATATAATTATAAGTCAAGCTTGGGGATTAGAACTACTTTATTGCTGTATTTAACTATATATATAATGCATAGCATCTTGACAAACAACTGATATATATGAATTGATTGTGACCATTAACAGAAGATGATAAAACTGACATATGTTAGATACGCTGTGATAAGGCAAGAGTTTTATTACAATGCCACTTTTTCCCTATTGGCAATATTGCCTTACCATATTGAGGTTTTGGAAATCCCACAATAAGAAATTAAGTATTTCTTCAATGTTGTTTTATTAAGTACATGCATTATTAGATACAAAAGCATAAATCATTGAGGTAATACAATAATGGCTGGTAGATATTTTTTTGTTGCTTATAATGATACATACTGCACAATAATACAGTAAATATGTTATGGGCGGATGAAAACTTTAAATATGACAGTTTATAAAGTTTCTATAAAACTGTTTGCCTTCATTTATTCTTCTGTCTATTTTTTCAGGGTAATGATATTCTTTGATTTAGTAAAAAAAACAAACACACAACTAATTATGTTGTAGTACTATTAGCTGAGGGAAATGGATAGTTTTTAGTCTTTATTTTTTTCTGGTACAGTTTCATGTAGGTCTCTGCTCCAGAAACTAGATGAAAACTTCCTGTTAAAGACTGGCTTTTGTTGTGAAACTTTAATGAAAGTTTCTATTCCAGTGACTTGAACTTATTTCTAAGAACAAAGCATTGATTGCTTGTGATGTGTTTAGTCAGACACTTAAAATTGTTTGTTTTGAAAATTGTGCATGAATGTTTTGTTTTTCTGTTTGGAATGCATGTGTTTTAGTTGATAGTTTATGTGGACAAAATGTACATTGGTTAACAAAGTAAAGAACTTTGCTAAAGAAAAGTGAAATAATATTTGATGGGGGGGGGGGGCAATGTGTATTTATGAATCAAGACTTTAATTTAATTTTATTTAAAGATGTTTAAATCTATATAAAAATAACTACCATCTATTTTCTAGTGTATAGAAATGCAGTTTGGTTAAGCCAACAAAATATTTTTTATAATTCAATATTGAGAGAGTAAACTAATGAAAAAACAACAAAAGCTCCCCACCGATGTTATGTAATTGTTGGTGAGAGTTTAAATTTAATTAGGAAGTCTTAATTAAAAATGGATACTTTTGTTAAGAGGTTGTGGCTTAACAGGGGAGACCACTCTACAGGGGTTACTCTGTAGTCCCTCGTGAGTTTTCTACAACAATGACAATTTCCATATAAATTGTTAAGTCGATACAAGAAGTAAAACTCATATTTAGAATATTATTTACTGATGTTATTGTAGGACATTAAAGTGCTATATAAATATTTTGGTTCGAGAGGAAGTTGTGTAATGAATGAATGTTTGTCCTCACTGAGTGAGAAAGTTTACAGTATGTAATATTTCATGCACGTTCTCTTGCACACTTTGTGCTATAATGATGATTGACATGAATTATTTCATACGTTTTCTGTTAACTTTATGTTACTACCAAATAAAATTATTATTCTTATTATAATTGTTATTTATTTTTAAAGAGTTGGTACTTAAAAAAAATTACATATTATAATTTATCGTATATCCGGGCTATTTTTGTGATTCCGTAAATAATGGTATTGCACGGCCGTGCATATATTTTGACGTGATATTATTTGTGTTAAAAAAACATTGCATTAAGACGCACAAATTGTTAGCGTTAAACTAAGAATCAAAAGGAAAAAGGTTCTTTTTCACTTCAAACGGTCTTTATTGTTGGTATATGATGAACATAATATTAAATTTATGTAAGTTCATTACTGAATGTATTGAACTCATTGAATAAAATAATACCATGCTCGCCAAAGGCTCGCATAATATAATTTTATTCAACTCGTTCTATAAATACACTCATTCAATATCCTCTATATGCATCTTTATATAATATAAACAAAAGGAAAAGTGCTGGAACAAAAAAAATCAGATAAATGAAACAACTGAAATTGAGTGTGTTGTTTTCAATTTATGGGCACATAAAAGGCACATTATGCCTCAGATACGGATATATTTTCTTTCTTTATAAAAAGAACACACAAGTTATTCAGCGCTTAAATATTGGTTTTAAAGCATGTTATACGCTTATCACCCGAAGAAAGTAGCCATAAATGTGAAATTATTTGTCACAAAATATCAAATTGTAAACAAAGTAGTATTTCAACTTCCATACTAAATACTAAACCACTATAATTGTACAGATTGTTAAAAAGCTAAATAAGCAAAAATGATACAAATTATTTTGTTTTGAAACTATAACAGAACACAAAAATTAAAAACCTTTTGAAAAAATAAATAAATAAAAGCATTTCTAGGGATAATGGGCCTTTAACCATCAAGGATAAAAACTTTTCTTTAGAAATGCAATAATATGTTTTAAACCTTAATAATGCTTGATGAATAGCCACTGAAAAAAAAACTAGTGTTGAATACGAAATAATTTGTCATTAAAGTAGTAAAGTGATATTCCTACAAAATTATAACTGTACTAAAATCCAAAATAATTTTAGAAATAGGAATAATATCATTTTGGGGCCTTAATATTAATAAATGGGTCTTGTAGAAAATGAAGATTTTAGTATTTTCAGTCTAGTTTATCAGTTTTCCAGTCTGATAAGTGAAATCCTATATTTGCTTCATATTGTGTAGCACAGCAATAAATGAGTTTTCCAATATTTTACCTTCATGAGATTATGTTTATTGATGTATATTGTGTAGAACATTATTGTTCTCTGGTGTTTAGTCTGTTTATAGATATAATTGCCTTAAAATATGAAAAGAAAGTTCTTATCTAAATTGATATAATTGTTATGAAAGGAAATGGGATTACATTATATGGTTGATTGAAAGTAGTTCTAATCTGGCCTATCGAAAGTTGTTCTAATGTGGCCTACTGATAGTAGTTCTAATGTGGCCTACTGATAGTAGTTTACTCTGGCCTATTGAAAGTAGTTTTAATGCGGCCTACTGATAGTAGTTCTAATGTGGCCTGCTGATAGTAGTTTTACTCTGGCCTATTGAAAGTAGTTTTAATGCGGCCTACTGATAGTAGTTTTACTCTGGCCTATTAAAAGTAGTTCTATTGTGGCCTATTGATAGTAGTTTTACTCTTTTTGGCCTATGAAAATAGTTCTAATGTAGCCTATTGAAAGTAGTCATTATCTGGTCTATTGAAAATAGTTGAAGTTCTTATGTGGCCTATTGAAAGTAGTTCTTGTGTGGCCTAACAAAATTAGTTTTACTCTGACCATTTGCTATGTGGCCTATTGAAAGAAGTTCAAATCTGACTTATGGAACGTAGGTTAACCTGGCCTATCAAAATGATCTCTAATCTGGCCTTGAATCTCTCAATATATGATGACCAAGAGTTATTGTTTTCAAATTCCTTTTTATGCTCCCCGAAAAATTTCGTGGGGAGCATATAGTCGCCAGGTTGTCCGTCCGTCCATCCGTACTCCCCAAATTTGTGTCCGGCCCATGACTTTGTTATTTGAAGTCAGATTTTAAAACTATTTCGCAGAAATGATCACCATATTAAGACGACGTGTCGCGCATAACATTTGGGTCGCTACTTGGAAGGTCAAGGTCACAGCATGACCTTGAAGCAAAATCGTGTCCGACCCATAACTTTGATATTTGAAATCGGATTTTACAATTATTTCACAGAAATGATTATCATATTGAGATGACGTGTTGCGCGCAACATTTGGGTCGCTACCTTGAAGGTCTAGGTCACAGCATGACCTTAAACAAAACTCGTGTCCGGCAAATAACTTGGTTATTTGAAGTCTGATTTTACAACCATTTCACAGAAATGATCACCATATTGAGACGACGTGTCGCACGCAAATTTGGGTCGCTACCTTGAAGGTCAAGGTCACAGCATGACCTTAAAGCAAAAATGTGGCCGGCCCATAACTTCGTTATTTGAAGTCTGATTTTACAACTATTTCACAGAAATGATCAACATATTGAGATGAGGTGTCGCGGGTAACATTTGGGTCGCTACCTTGAAGGTCAAGGTCACAGCATGACCTTGAAGCAAAATTGTGACCGGCCCATAACTTGATTATTTGTAGTCGGATTTTAAAACTATTTCACAGAAATGATCAACATATTGAGACGACGTGTCGCGTGCAAGTAGGTAGACAGATCTAATTGAGTAGAAGTGCAGTGCAAAGAACAGTAACTCTGCATTGCCTAAGTTTGGAATTATCACGTTTGTCTGGGACTACAAAATATATACTTTTCTGTGTCCAAATCCTAGTCAGGGAGCATCACACGGTTCAACCAGCTCTTGTTTTTCATCAATTCTTGCTGGAAATCATTCAACACATGGTTATAGAAATTACCTGTGTTGTATAGGGATAATTTAATTCTAAATTTATCTATAGAATAATCTATCAAACAAATTGGAAAATCTTGCTTGATATTTTGTTTTGGTTAACTATACCCCTGTCCTTAGGTGGAATACATCTTTTCTTTTTTTAGAAATAAACGGAAATCACATTTCCTGGGATGGTTGTCCTTGTTGGATTGTAGTTACTATTTAAGGCATTATTCCTTTAAGTCACAAGTTACCTTGAATTTTGGAAGCATTTCTTGCTCAATGATTTTAGTACTGTTTTACTGTTTGCCTTTAAAGTTCAGGTTGTTGCCTTTATTCAGAAGTCACATGTATACATATATTGTTTTTTGGCAATAGCAAATAAAGGGTCACAGTTACCTTGAATTTGAAAGAGCTGAATAAATCAACACCCTATGATTTTGAGCATTATAAACAAACTTCTTTGTGTTTTTGGTATATACAGAATTTACTTTAGTTTGATTAATTAAGCTTGTTGACACTTTCCAATCCATTCCTGGAACCAACCAGTACTGATCAATGGGTGTAAAGTTTCTTGCTCAAGGAAACAATAGCTTGCCCCTGACAGGGTTTTAACCCATATTGCAAGCAATCATTCGATTACTAGTCTGACATGTAAACAACTCGGCAATGCCGCCACTTTTGTTTCAACAGTATTTGCATGTAAGCTTTACCAGTATTCTAGGAATTTCTATACATCCTTAGAGTATTATTGTTTTAAAGTAAAGTACATAAAATGTATTTCTAGAGACCTTTTTGTTACACATACACACCTGACAATAGATAAGCAAATGCACTACAAAATGTTGCTGGATCATTTGGAGCTAAGATGGCAATAAAATTTCCAAGAAGTTCCATCCATGGAAAATTAAATCAATTTTCAGTAGAACAAGTGAAATAAATTATTAACAATTTTACTTTGCAAAATATTACAATAACTATGCCATAAAGTTCTTATTTACTTTTTGTGATACTAATAACTTAAAGTTGTGGTGACGATAACTTAAACGTGTTAATTGTTAACATTTCAGCTTCAGTTATTGTAGAATTTATTTTTGTGAAAATTTAACTCTTGTTTCATTTATTATAAAGAAATTCTTATGGTCCATAAAACACGACTCCCTGTAAAAGAATTATTTATTAATTCAATGAGAACTTTAGTTGATTAGTTTACATGTATACGTATATTTATATTTATCGTACAATAAATCTTAATGGATCATCTCACTTTGGTATATATCGTACTTTAACTACTGAAGTGAAGCCAGTTTCTACCATTTTCATCTTAAATCATTCGTCTCGTCAATTTTTATTTTACGTTCTTGCGTCAATATTTACAACAATTTTTCAACCTGTCTACTAATATTGCAATATCATACGCTTGGTACCCTCAAGTCAATAATAAATTGTCAATTTTTGTTATTCCTTGATAAAATATTGCAGTGTTCTGAGATAAGTATGTAAAGTTAAATTTGCGTACAATTCATGTGTATTCTTTTGATTAAATATTGATAATTGCTAATGGAAAATCTAACAATATATCCTTTTATATAAGAATATATGCTAAGGGAATGGGGTGTGATTGTGCATTTGTTCTTGGAATTGACTGTTTGTTGTTTAACTTGGATGAGAACAAGTCCGTCGGTTAACCAGTCTGTGAGTTAACCAGTCAGTAAACCAGTTAATAAATTATTAATTGAATAGTACAGAAAGGGCAAGGATAGTTATGAAACAGTTTAACAATATACTTGCAGACTGCTTTAATGTTTTCTTTGATGGTGTACTTCAAAATACACACAGGGTGTTAAACAAGGCAGTCTGACTGTAAATTAAAGATATACCTGTAAATCAACTTTTGAGAGAGGTTCTGAACTAATAAGCCATGTCAAACATTAAACCAATTACATCTTAGATTATTGGGGAGGGGAGGGGGAGGTTACTATATATTGTTCAGGGTGACATTCTGAGAAGACTTGTAAGTTCATGAAAAGCAAATACATCAAAACCATAACTGAGTTAAAGAAACTCAGTGGTTCTACTCAGTTGCCGGCTTGTGGCTGAAATAATATATAAAGGGGTATCTTAAGTCTTCCTCCACCAGTCCAGTTGGCAATTTG